TTGAAATCTTCCGGACAAAATGAGAAAAGTGCCGGTCAAAGGTCTTCTTTGTTATTTATTGAGCTTTAAAACAAATTGATATGATTCGATATTAAACAAACTAATTATAGTAGATTAACTACATTATTCAAAAGTGTACAGTAATTTACAAAAACGCGGGAATAATAAACAGAGCACTCTCTCCTTCTCCTGACAGCCCGTCAGTATCATGCAGCTCGCGGATCCAGTAATGAGTGACCCGACAGTCAAACTAAACGTATCTATAACTAGTTTAGATAGTTTGAGAGGTAATTAAAATAGCTACGTGTGATGTTCTAACCTGAAGTGTGTTTTGCTCTGCTCACCGCTGCAGGTGATCATGCAGAGCTGCGTGTTGACTCGTCAGCAGCAGCCGATCTCTCTCTCCCGTCAGATTAGACTTTACTCGCGTTTATGTCCATATCGATCAGATCTAGCTAGTTCTAGCTAATGATATGACTACCTGCTTATTAAAAGACACAGGCCCGGTTCCAGAACAAAATGACTCAGGGTGCATCTGAGATTAGAGAGGGTGCAGTGGTAAAGTGCTATTTTTTTTAGTGGGGAGTGGACCTAACACCCTAGGCGGGTCCTCACCTCCTCTAGGGGGGTCCTCACCTCCTCTAGGGGGGTCCGGGGGCATGTTCCCCCGGGAAGATTTTTTTTTAAATATTGAAGTTAAAACCATCAATCTGGTGCACTTTGAGAGCAAAATGAAGAGATCTATGGATACATCTCAACATCCATATGAAACAGAACTGTAAACAGATGTACTTTTTCTTTATGGATATTTTACAAATCACTCCCCTTTTAAGACCGAAATGTCTGCATGCATAGCAGAAGATGGCATCTTTTATACATGAATATTCCAGCCAATCTCTATTTTGAAACCATGAGCTGCAAAATGAGCGCCTTACCCCACTGTACAGGCGAGTTGGGTACTTTTTTTAATATACCTGGGCAGGCTCTGTTTTGCCGAGGTCCTCTGGCACTTGCGGGCCGCTGAAGGGGTGGCGGTGTTTGGGGCAACGAAGCAGAGGACGAACGCGCAGCGGTACAGGTCACGCGCACCTGACATAATAACGTTACTTACCGTTTAAATTGACCAAATAAATGCAGCAGACAATGTTATTTAACCACAATTACAATTTTTTTATTTCAACTATATTCTTCTTCTTCTTCTTATTATTACTACTATTATTATTATTATTATTATTATTATTATTATTATTATTATTATTATTATTATTGTTATTATATATGTAATATTTTTCACTTTTCATTTTATTTTATTTTATTTTTTTCACTTTTAATTTAAAAAAAAAAATTCAAATGAGGGTGCATAACGACTCAACTGAGGGTGCAATGCACCCTTATGCACCCCCGTAGAACCGGGCCAGAAAAGACACCTAAACAATAAGCGTCGCTATGCAACCGGGTGAGGCCACAAAGCATTATGCATTTGTTTACATGCCCACCGGAACCCCGAGGCATTACCAACAGATCAACGCACAATCAACCCATACAGGACATATCTTTCTCCACATTAAAGGTGGGGTAGGTAAGTTTGAGAAACCGGCTCGAGATACACTTTTTGTTATATTCCGTGGAATGCTCTTAACATCCCGATAGCAATGAATATCTTAAGTGCTTTGACAAAAAAATCCATAAAAAAATGTCATCTGTGGAAGCCGTAATACTGTAAAAAGCACGACCAATCATTTTAGCCGGCCCGGCTAAAATAATTGGATGGCCTACCTGCCTGTCAGCCTTCCATCTGTGCACAAACTTATCTCGTGCCCTCATTGGTCATGTGCGCGTTCGTGTGTGTTGGAGGAGGGGCTCTGTAAGGAAGTGGCAGATTTTTCCCGGCTGTGTATTTTCAAAGTTATCGCCACTCACGCATGCGCAGTTCTTATGTGCAACTTGGCCATCGGCTGAAGCATGGATGTATAATAAGAAGTGAGGAGACGTGAGGCGACGTGAGGAGACGTGAGGAGACGTGAGGAGACGTGAGGAGACGTGAGGCGACGTTCCGTCGAGACCTTTAAGGCCCTGACACACCAAGCAGTCACCAGAGAACTCGCCGACGCCGACTGTTGCGTCGCCGTGTTCTCCTGCGTCTTGGCCATGTGTCGCACTGGAACACACCGCAAAGACTTCAGCCGAGCACGTACGAACTGCGCATGCGTGAGTGGCAATAACTCTCCTTACCAGCAGGCGGCGGTAGTGTGTATTCGTCATTCAAAAGAGGCAACAACCGGAAGACAGAGAAGAAGAACAGACTGCGTGATCTAAACAAACAACAAATAGCGTGTGCGTTCCATTTTCACTCTCGTCCATCGAAAACATGTTTCGTGCGGTACTGGAGCTATCAGCCATTGGTGTGTTGCTTGTGGAAGACATTCTCAAGCAACCGTTTCGCTTCTCATGCACTGATTCGCTAGCTGAACAGCCAATCAGAGTGATTTATTTGTACGACTGCCTGTGGCCGCACGTGCGTCGGCCATGAAAGGCCAAATAAGGCGTGTCACGGCCGACGGTGCGGGACACACCAAATTGAGTTTGGGCGACAGGGCACGCTTTGTCGTCCGACTAACAAAAACGGCCGATTTCGGCCTGGTGTGTCAGGGCCTATATATATACAGTCTATGGTCGAGACGTGTTCTTTGGTGTCAGTTTGGTGTGTAAGGAGTGGACCTTTACTTGAAGAAGAACCAGATCTAAAGGTCAACTGTTAGTAATGAATGGACTGCTTGCAGCCATTATTACACTGTCATTTAATTATTAAGTTACTCAAATTAGTGGGCTGTTGTGGGTATTAAACAAGTACTGTGTTTTGATCAGGTGATTTTTAGATGTGTCTTTTACTGTTTTGTGGTGTTTGATGTGAAGGATATATATATATGTGTTCGAGTACTGACAACAAAGGGAGTTTTTCAAGTTGAAAATCTCTTCTCTTCCCATGCAGTATATTCTGTTTACGTTTTCTTTTGCTGTCCTCTGCAAACTACCACCACCCTTCCTCTTATCTTATCATTATTGTGTGAGTATTTGTTTATTCTCTGGTTTCCACAAAATGACCCATCTTTAGGGAATTGAAACAGTCCTTCCTATTCTCCCAGCAGTCGAGTGAAAAGGAGGACCATTGAGTCTCTGGCATGGGATATTCCAAAAAATAAAGCATTGGAATCAAACAATGTGTGGGTGTCACTTTCTAACAATCTAGTGTTTACTGAAAGTGTATAATGGAACTCACTGTGTCATTAATCATTATTTTAAAAGTTTCACTTTGTAATTCAGTTAAAAGTGTACGGCTTTGATTTGGCAATAATTCAGTTATAAATGTTAGTATTAATAAATGGTTTCACACTTATATGTTAAGTTGTAATTAAGTGGAATTCGGGAAAGTGATTTTGTACCTTGCAACCCAAAAGATGTTCTTAAAAATCTGATTATGAATTCCAATCCATCCGCAATAGTATAGCATTAATTCATCGTAAATCAAGCCATTATTTAAACTTGAAAACTGTTTGTTTACTGGCTCTTTGTTGGGAGCAGTGAAGATGAGAAAGGGCTGATTCATTGCCAGCAGTTTAAACGTTTTGTTGGACCAATCAGGAGGCGGCAATCAAGGAAAATGGTCCAATCATGTGGCACCACCTGTTTAACCACCTTTGCACACTTTAAGAAGAGAGAGAGATCTGACATAATGACCCGGGTCTGGAAGTAGGGATTGTTTCATTCATGAGTTATTGCCGGCCTCACCATGTTGTATCTGATCCTCTTAAACTCCACAGCTCAGGCAACTCCATGACCTCCAGCAGGATGGATTTATGAAAACAGTTGCATAATAACAGCACACCTACCACCACGTGAGGGAAGGTCACTACAACATACAGTAAAGCCCTTCTAGGTGCGGGTTATTCTCAGTCATTTCATAATGATCTGATATTTTCTCATTTGATTCATTACGTTGTATTGGTCTTTAATGAAAGTTGATCAACAGGCTGATGACTGACACAGAAGGGTTAAAGAAACAATACATGGTGTTTACTCTCTTATAGAGTTAAAAAGAGGACATTTGGGCTTTAATGTTCCAATAACTCAATTTGAACCTACAGTGTTACCTCCCTGTGCACAAAGGGTATATTTCCAGGCTTCTGAGGGATTATTCATAAGTCATTATGCTTTCATTGCACCGCATGCATTCTGCACCATTTGCAGTTCATGGAGCGGAGAACGTTTAACAGACAAGAGCTGTTTTGTGCAGAGCTGTCAAAAACATTTTGCTTCATTCATAACATCTAAAACTTCTGCCACTGCGCTTCTAATGCTACTACCAATAGGAAAGCACTACTTTGTGTTACGGTTCCTGTCCTGTGTTTGATTTTCTTACAGTGAAGTTCAAAGTTCAATTGTGAACTTGGGAACAGCAGTTGAGAAAACAGAACGACCACAGGGTCCATTTGGGAGCTGTTCATCAGCAAATTATGAGAAACGTTTTACGAATCCTTGAAGTGAAGCGATCAGAAAAAAAAAACTATAACTAATATTTGTAACCTGTTTCACGCCTTCCCCCCGGTACCGGGCGGATAAACGCGTCATTTGCAGGAAACAACGTCTAAGGAATCTTAATATTGAATAAAACTATGAATGTGTTATATCCATGTAACGGGAAGAAACTCAGCTAACTGATCTTTTTCATTTTTTTTTTCAAAAAAAACCCACAATGCTAGCACTCAGCCTCTGAATTAGCCTCGATCGAAAAAACGGGACCGACAAAGGCACATAAACTCACTCAGAACTCCCTTATTACTTATCCTAGATGCACAACCAAACACTATTTTTTGGTGTCCTGGAGACACTGAATCTAACGGTGCCCACCTCAACACTCAGTGATAAACATTCGCGACGCTATCAACGAAAGCGTACATCATCACATGTGGAGCTAAGAAGCTAAACACGTAAATATATCTTACCTTGGTCAAAAGTGGTCTTCAATGGCATTAAAACGATAAAAAAACGATGCTGCAGTTAATCCATAGGTTCATCCTATGTGTCTGTGCCTTCTTTGAAATTATTTCTGATAATCCATAAGCAATACAACTGCGTTTTAGTTTCCAAACTCCAGAAGGAGACATTCCTCCAGTTTAGTTTCACTTTCCACACGCGAAGCGGCAACATTTTTTCTTTACAATGTGTGTCTATGTGAGTATCCTCCTTCGATTCTATTGGCTCTAACGGTCACAAGGGTATGTCAACCAACCAGATCGAGCAAGGGGGGCCAGAGATAGGTCAAATCCACCCAAATGACCCCAGATGGCCCAGTTTTTGGCTAAATCTCTCTAAAAAGGTCAAATTTCACTTGTTTTGCATCAATCTTGATACAGGGTACTTATTATATGTTGTACTTTGGATTCCTAAAGCTTTTAGTCTACTAACCCATCATCCAAGGGTAGTTTTCACTATCTGTAAAAAATAATTTTTGGACGGACACTATAATTTACAGTTTTTTACTATGTAAAATCTGAATATTTATATTGATTCTGACACTTCTACATCCAACTCACAGGTTTATCATTACTTTGAGAAAAGATTATTAATTTAACCCTTTTAGAAGGGAAGATATGGTCATTTGTTCTGGGAATGTCATTTTCGAGCCTGAGACCTGAAAAACAGGCTCAGAGTGGAACAGGCTAAACTTCTTTTATTTTATTTTAACTCTCTTTAAAGATACATTTGTTCCATAAGTGGTTTTAATTGTATTTGTTTTGCTTAATATAATAAGTATTATTTAGTTTAAAAATGTAATTTAGTTTAATATAATTATTCAATAATATATTATGATTTATTTTTCTAAATATAAATATTTTTTGCTTAATGATGTGATTTTATTTAGCATTATTTTATTAGTAAGTAATAATATATAGTATATATATAAATATGTAACTTCTGTTTTCTTAGATTCTTTTTTATTCTTGACAAATATGCATCGATAAAGTTATTATGGGCTTATCTTTACACTTAAAATGACTCCTGCTTCAGATGAAAAGTGTGTGTGTGTCTGTGCGTGTGTGCGCGCGTGTGTGTGCGTGCATGCGCGCGCGCGTGTGTGTGCGTGTGCGTGTGTGTGTGTGTGTGCGTGTGTGTGTGTGTGTGTGTGTGTGTGTGTGTGTGTGTGTGTGTGTGTGTGTGTGTGTGTGTGTGTGTGTGTGTGTGTGTGTGTGTGTCGTGTGGCTGCTCAGCCTCTAATGTGAGACATCCCGCTCAGAGGTCGGGACCGATCAGCGGTCAGTAGCTGACTGAAGTGCTCCGCGTCCGGACTCACAGCTGCACCGGGGACCGGGATCAGAACCGGGGGAAGTCAGAGGAGACTTTACGCTCCGAGATGGAAAACATTGAAAAGACTCTTTGAAAGTTTACATTTCGGACATGGAGACAGAAGCGAACAGACAAATAATCACAACAACGTCCGCCTGAGGTTCGGTGCAGCGGAGGATGACACCGGCACCGCCTGGCGAGCACCGACGCGTTGATCCACACTTCCACATCTCTGGAGAAGAGTAGGTCAAAGCAAAGAGCGACTGTCTGCCTCTGATTCTGCAGAAGGACCAGCATCCCTCTCTCTGCCAGCTCTGCTTACCGGCTGCGCAAACAGCGCGCTTGTTTTACGCTCCTTTATATCTTTGCACCATCGCGGACTGCGGCAAAACACAAACCCGGACATATCGTTCAAACAGGTAAGCGTCAAAGCAGCCTTAAGTTTGACAGCTATGGAGACGAAATGTTAAGAAAAATGTTGCTGTTTTTAAAGTAACAGCGTTTTCAGCTGATTTTAAAAATAGAACATCTTGATAAAGAAGGAAAAAGTGTGCGTAAAATGCTTAAAATGTGCTCGATTCACCATTTTGGCTCATGCATGGATATATCCTGTTAATAGTTTTAAATCAAGGAATCTTCACGGGTTCCAGAGAATAGTAGGTCATTGATTAACCCTTTAAAATCCAGTTTATTTTCCCTTAGAGCTCGGAACACATTGTCTTATCCTGACTGTCTGAGTATCACACATATATTCTGTATAAAACACAACCCTCCAGTCAAATATTTTGACAGGAATTTATACACATTTGCCCAAATATTCTACCTAGGATGTTTGGAAACATTAGGATCCCCTCTTTCTAATTGCTTTTGGCTGCACAGGATGAGCTTGTAATGGTAGGAGAGGCAGATGTTATTATACTTTACGATATGTGGCTAGAGGTGTAAGAAGTAATATCACAGTGTAGGAATACTCTGTTACAAATAAAAGTCATGCAATGCAAATGTTACTCAAGTAAAACTACAAAAGTATTAGCATTAAAATATACTTACAGTACTGAAATTAAAATGACTCATTATGCCGATTGGCCGATTTTATTATATTATATATGATATGTTCTGATTATAATTAATGATGTTTTATTTTGTTTATCACAGCTGGTAAAGGCTGAGCATGTTTGAATGACTTTGTATGATGTCAGGTGTTACTAAAGTCTTATTTATGTGCTGATTGTATATTTCAAATAATGAATCCCAATCTGCAAAGTAACTAAAGGTATTAAATAAATGTAGTGTAAAAGTACAAGTACACTGTAAACTCTGAATTTTAGATAAGAAGTACAAATGAGCAACAAATTAAATGTATTAGAAGTACTAGTATCTCAAAATTGTACTTAAGTTGTGTACTCGAGTAAATGTACTTAGTTACTGCACTGTTTGTGGCCCATATGGATTTAAAGTGAGATTAGATGTTATTTTACTGTGTTGTGTTTAAACCCTCTCTTCCTGTTGCAGGTCTCTGCAGCCACGCTCGTTCAAACATGACTGCCCTCTTGTCTTCATGCTGTTTCCCTGATGAGAGTTCACATCGCCTGCTGGATAGGAAGTAAAAGAGCTTTGCTACAAACTCTCTAAACAGCATCAGCAAGGCAGTATAATCTGTGGACTCACCATGGGCACTATCCTATCCCTGTCCCCCGGCTTTCGGAAGTCAGGCTACTATGACAACCGTCCGGGCTCGCTCAGCCACTACCCGAGCATCAGCAGCCGCTCCCTCAACAGCCAGAAAGAGCGCGGGCTGAAGAGGGGGCAGTCCATCTTCCTCCCGGCGCTGACATGGAAGCGACTGGTGGCTTCAACCAAGAAAAAGGGTAACTCCAAGAAAGGCTCCGGTGGTCAAATGGCCCTCGGGGACCCTCTCAACAACAACAACAACATCAACATCAACATCTACCAAAAGGACCCCTTGTTGCACCTCAACCGCGAAAATGTGAAGAAGTCGTTGTCCTGTGCCAACCTGTCCAGCTACGAGGGCCCAGCAGGTCTGGGTCTGGGGCTCGGCTACGGCATGGGGCTGGGCCAGGGCCACGGATACGGCTACAGCAAATCACAACTGCTCTCCTCTGTGAAAAAAGTTCCCCAAGGGACGGTGACGTCGTCCCCAAAGCGCGTCATCGTCCAGGCGTCCACCAGCGAGCTGCTGCGCTGCCTGGGGGAGTTCCTGTGCTGTCGCTGCTACCGGCTGAAGCTCCTGGCCCCCGCCGACCCGGTGCTGTGGCTGCGGGCCGTGGACCGCTCGCTGCTGCTGCAGGGCTGGCAGGACCAGGCCTTCGTCACGCCCGCCAACGTGGTCTTCGTCTACATGCTGTGTCGAGACGTGGTGGATGGCGACGTTGTGTCGTCGGAGCACGAGCTGCAGGCCATCCTGCTCACCTGCCTCTACCTGTCCTACTCCTACATGGGCAACGAGATCTCGTACCCGCTCAAGCCCTTCCTGGTGGAGGCGGGTAAGGAGGCCTTCTGGGACCGCTGCCTCGCCATCATCAATGCAACCAGTGCTAAGATGCTGCGCATCAACGCGGACCCGCACTATTTCACACAAGTATTTGCTGAACTCAAGAGTGAGGGCGGCTGCGGCCCTCAGGACTATAGTCGGTTGCTGGATCGGTGAGAAGAACTTTGCTGATCACATGCCTTTTTGTACACTCATGCACATGTATACTTGCACACTGAAGCATACATGTGCCTCATCGGATTCCTTTTCTTCTTCTGCTGGAGGAATATCGGCCTATCTGTAATACATTTAATGATTCTATCTCTGTTCTCCCTTGCATCTTCAACAAAAAGGAATTATAAACATTCTCCCCAAGATAATTGGCATAAAAGAAGCTCACAGTTTTTCTTTTCTTTTCCTTGTCCTGGAATATCCACCTGAGTTTACTTGAATTGAAGAACCATTTGGCCCATCTGTCCCGTACGTGGTCCCAGCTGCTTCTCTGGATCTGCACAACCAGGCCTCCTATCCTCTATGAACTTCTCTGAATGTGCTCAATCAGTGCTTAGGACAATAGGATGCCATCATCCCTCCACCAATACCATCAAGGATTCTTCAACAGTTGCATTCTAAACGTCGGAGTGGATTCACAGAAGAATAAAACAGACAATATAATCCTCCGAGGCCAAGTTACATTTTCCAGGGCAACAAGAGGAGACATGTTGACATCCGCTGCTGGCTAAGCCCCATGTGGCAGCAGTGAGAAGTGAGTCAGAGTGACGGGGACAGCTGAGAGGTCCATGTTAGGTCCTGCTGTGTGGTCAGTAAAGCAGAGCGGAGTTTTGTGGAGCCTTTTGAGGGGCGTCTGGCTTGAGGGGACAGTTGCTGTTTTTTTTATCGTTACTCATTCGAGCCTGCATCTGTGTTTCCATTTTATCTCAGGAGACTCTCCTGGTGGAAGCATAATTTGAGATGGATGTGTGTGTGTGTGTGTGGGGGGGGGCAGCCATGGTCATCAGCTGTTCGCTCCATCCTTTGTCCCCTGCATCTTGTTGACAGAGCACCCACAGGCTGTGGTATTAATGAGATTAGCAGATTACTGCAGCCCCTCCCCTCCTCAACCTCTGCCCCCTTCTTGTCCACTCGGCAGCCCTGCAGAGCTTCAGTGGCTAATCCAGGCCAGGCTGGACCGTGCTGGACTGTAACACACAAACAAACACTTTTACCTTGTTGTGTGCTCTCTATTCACTTTGGTGCATGGATGAAACGTTGCGTGACACACGTGTGCAGCTCAGGGTCCAGAGCAGAGGCACTGAAGCTCTCAGTTGTTTAAGAGCTTTATTGTGTTTTTGCTGAATTTGTCCCACTTTCTCATCAGTCCCATCCTCATCATCCTCAACAGGCCTGTTCTACCTCTCAATCAACCATTGGCATTTTTGCTTCAATGCCTTTAATCTCATCCCGTGTGATTTCATGTGTTTTCAGAGGTAGTCACAGATGAGCCCAAGGTTTGGCATAATTGTTTCACTGAATAATATATGAAGATACAAAAAAAAAAGGTTTGCTGGATTTTGTGTCCCAAACATTCAAAAGTTGTTAAATTTCCCAAAAGGACCCAGAAGTTGGCAGATTATGTTTTGGCTGTAATTTAATTTCGAACGCAAAAAATAGTAGATGAACGGGGGAAAGCACAAATGAACTGCACATATTTGCACCAGATTGGTGTGACCGGTTACTAGTTTAACCAAAGATTTTTTCCAATGAAAAAGTGAAATGTAAACCTTTATTTACAAGAAAAAGGCTATATGAAAGAAATTGGTTATATTCAGCTTGTCTCCTTCTCTTTTTATCCTCTTAATGCAGGGATCTCAAACTCAAGGCCCGGGGGCCAAATCCGGCCCGCGACTTCATTTTATGTGGCCCTGCAAGAGCTTGCAAAGAATATAATATGTTTATTATACGGTTACATGCCACTTTACAGAAGCACGTTGCCCATAAACTACATGTCCCACAATGCATCTCGTTTTGTGACATGCGCACTGAAGAAACTTGCAATTATTTGCCCTGGACTTCTGCTTTCAGACGTAGTTAATTACTAAGTTATTATCCTATCCGATAATAATCCAATTCAGAGGCAATAATGTAATATAATACATTATTTTATATATATTATATATTTATATAGTTACAACCGGACCTTTGAGTGCAACCTTTATGCGAATGTGGCCCGCGATGAAATTGAGTTTGACACCCCTGTCTTAATGTATCCTTTTTTTTGTGTCCCCACCTCCAGTTTTGGATACTCAACTTCCCAGCAGGATACTACATGGTTAAGAAGCTGCTTCAACTCTAATATCATGGTTGCTTGACCAGCTTTTACCAAGGCATGGTGCCAACAATAGCACATGGCAAAGCCTTAATCTTATTGTGTTGGGGCCTCTGGAGGGTTTCCACGCCTCTCCTCCTCGGGCAGTAGCTCTTGCACACTTTGCTGTATGTATTCCCCACCAAGGTCAAGGATAAAAAAAGGTCCTTTCTCAGATCCGACCTTTACACACATGTGCAAACAAACCCACTCTCGGTCACATCCCCTCCCCTAATCTACTCCTAATCCTCCCACCCAATCAAATAAAGAGAGAGGGATGAAAACATGAGGGAATGAGTAAAAGGTTCAGAATCCGATGAGATTTGGACACACTTCCCCGTGTGCTGCATTCAAATCCTGCTCCGAGGCCTTCAGAGACCTAAAGCTTAGCCCAGCTATTGCAGCTCATCCGGGCTCTTTGGAGTGACGGCTTCCTTCCTGCCCGCCTGAGGGATCTGGCATGAGCTCACGCCAGTCAACCAATAGTGGGGCAAATAATTGAATATACCAGGGAAATCGTTCAAAAGTGGATAAAAGTACTACATTTGGCAAACAAACTCCTTTTGAAAATGCCCGTTATCCACTCAGATGGCCATTTTCAAGATGGCCACAAATGATGGCTTGGAAATGTTTTTTTGCCATAAAATCACTTTCAACCTCTATGGTTGATCTTGGTGTCATATCATAAATCAAAAATAATCTGCATCTCAGTGGAGGTGGTTGAGGTATTTTGTAGGTGTAGGAGTGTAGTACAAGAGGTAGTTCTGGTGACATCATGGTGTTCAGTGATGGTTAACTAATTTAGCTCACATAGAAGACTAGTATTAGTATTACGTTTAGATTCCAAAATGCTTTCTAATAAGCCCCACATTTGAATATTTTGTGTTTAAAATGACACAATTAAGCTCTGAGGAAGTTTCTAAATGTGATGTCCCGCAGTCAATAATTCAATAGCAAATTCACAGGAATTGATCCAGTGGTTAAAATTCTGTGGTTTTTAGAAAATAAAAGATGCTAACACAGGCTTTCTTTTTTTAATGCCCCCAGAGGGATGCACATGGAAATGTTGGTACTTGTATCCAATTTTTAAAAAGTATTACAGCTATCAGCAGCTATACTAGGAGTGATGGCGGTGATTCACAGAGACACCACCGGCTCTTTGGCAGCCATTTTGTTGCTGCATCTCTTTCTCTCTGGCCCCGTGTCTGACAAGGACACTTGTGTCTTGAACTCCCTCTCTCCGTCCAGCTTCCCAACCCCTCCAACCCCATTTCCACACACTCAGCTGTTGTTCCTGGCCTTCATTAGATTTGACACCCCACACCCGCCAGCCATTGTCAGGACGAGGAAGGGCAGAATGGGTCTGTTTGTTGGCACCGTGTTGGTTGTGTTTGCTTGTGAATGTGGGTCAGAGTTAAGGTCAACATCTGCTTCCACCATGCGCCTCCCGCAGCCCTTAATGTTAATCAAATCAGGAGTTACAGTACAGCAACGTTTGACATCAGTGACCAATAAATCTGCATGTTGTGACCTTTGCTTTGATGACCTCTTTTGGCTCGCTGGTAAATGGAACAGACCAAGAGGAACCATGTTCATTCAAGCCTAATTTAATTTCTAACGCAATTTGGCAAATGTGATGAAGTTTGGTCTTGACTGATAAGGCGACATTCCCCTTAGGTCAGAACCTCCGTCCAATCACAAAGCTGTGCGTCCAATCATGTCAGCGGTGCAGATTTAAAGTCAAACATCTCAGCTGGAGCTCTAGTGATTATCCAATCAAACCCCTCGGCTTGTTTCTCGATCTCTGCATACCTGACTAACAGACACATGATGCCTGTGACATCTCTGTGGATAATGACTCTAGACTATTCAAACTAAATTAGGTTTAGAGCAAACAGGACCTTTTTCTGTGGATGGGACCTTCATCTGGGACTCCAACTCTGTTTTACAGAATATTTCAGATGGGCCTTAGCTCTGTTTTGAAGACTTTTGGTGTTTGTGAGAACAATGTGATCAAAGATTGAACCGAAACTCCTTGTGATATTCTATATTTTTCTTATTGTCAACATACATTAGACTATTTTAGTGCTTTTTCTACGTGTTTTCAGCTTCAAGCCCATTTGTTTGAAGTAAAGGCATAAATCACTAAAAACATGTCATGAATGTATACTTTGCCTAAAAAGCTGGTCACTGTATTTTTTAGCAAACATTACTCAAAGTGGAGTAAATAACACATTGGTTAGGGACTAGTTTCTGCTGCGGATGAATACAAATGTAGGGCAATCAGTATTCACAGCAACAGGACTGTGTTTTTACAAAAAAACTACAGTGCCCATGTTCGTTGTATTGAATAAACGTTTCGTCCAATGAGACATCAAGCATATCTGAAGTGTTTTTTTATATTTTTGGACAAAAAATGTAGCTTTACAGCACAGAGAAACAAGATGAACCAGGCTTTTATATGTCAGTTTGGTCATTTGTATGCAATTTGTTGACAATAAGAAGAAAATAGCATATCACAAGACCTTTCCTTTAAGTCCCCGCAGCTCTATGAGTTGTGTTAAGTTATTTCAGTATGCTGCTGGAGTTTGGTGTGAGATTCATAGCATCGCACACCTTCCACTGATGATGTAAATATGTGGGTGTGTAACAAAACTTGTTAAGAATGAAAAAATGAACAAAAACAATTTTCTTGCATGCATGCCAGCCAGGTAGTTTAGTTTCTTTCTTTTTTTACCTCTGCTTTTATTTGCATTTTATAATGTGATGTTTTAAAATGAAAGATTATGTCTTTGGTCTTTTAAAGGAAACATGATGTGAACAGTATTAAAGTCTCTGACGTGTGACTACAGGTGTAACTATTGCTGTTCATGATTAGAAACAATAGAGACAGTGAAATAAATAAATGATCAACTCTTATTTTCTTAAGATCAATCTAAAATTAGCAAAGCATGTGAATACATACGAGCTAAGACAAGTTATCATTTACCATCGTTTATTTTAAACTCGTCTCACACCAGACTTCATTCGTTAATTTGCTCTTTTAGACGTGGTCATGATGTGTCATACCACAACAAGAACAGAGCACAGTACACTTATAGAACTGCTTTTCTCATCAGTGCACCAGCTGGGGACACAGAGGCGGCCATTGTTAATGTAGTGTGTGTTTTTCGCAGGCTCTCCAGCTCCGATTGTAGCTTCGCCTCTGGGTGCAAAAACCTTTTTTTATTCATCACAACACCTCGTCTGTGTCGTGTCAACTTATGACATATGTTGATACAGGGATAAAAATAAATCTGTCTCCTCCTCCGCCAGTTTGCATTTCCTCAGCCATCATTGTACCTGTTACTTCAAAATGAAGAGGCACATCTTTTGTTAAGCCACTAAAACGTGTGAAAGTGAAATACTGTTGATGGGGGAAACTTGAAGAACACAAATGTGACATTTTCTGTTTGTTTGTCTGTTTTTTTTTCATGATGATGTTTACTGTGTTGATAATTTAATAAAGTATTGAGTTGAAATCTGGTGTGTTTCTCCCTTTTCATACATCTGCGAGGCTCACCCTCTTAACTCAAACTGCCTTTGTTCTCCACATGAAAAACTCTCCGCCTGCAACCCTGCTAACTGAAGACCGGCAGTAAATTCACGTGGGACATAAAATTGCTTAATGCATAGCCACACAATAGCCTGGCCGCTGCATGCAGATGGCCTTTTGGCTTCCTGTCAGATCAGAGGGGGGGTTGCGCTCCATCTGACTCTGAGCATGTCTCTGTAGTCAATCACCGGCCCCTCCGCCCAAACCACAGGTGGAAACACTGTGATGCTGCTTCTGCTCGGCAACAGCCTCCTCTCAGTGCGATATGTCAGTGTGTGCAGGCCAGGAGCATGAAAGCGTTCCTGCAGAGCTCTTTGTTTTAAGTGAGCGTGCCTGAGTGTAAAGTGACTAAAGGTCCTTACACACCAAACTGACACCAACGAACACCAAAGAACACGTCCCGACGGAACGTCGCCTCACGTCTCCTGCGTCTTGGCCATGTTTCGCACTGGAACCAAGCCCCCAGGAAGTGCGCCGGACTCTGAGGAAAAAAAACGTTGTGGCCAAACGGCGGTACTACACTTCCGTATCAGTCGCTGGGCCCGGAAATACTTTTCCCATTGACTAACATTGGGAAAGAGACATCTGTAAATCGTTGGATAATTTTTTTTTAAACTAAATAAACTACCCAGTATGAACATTTGTATAGCCCTTATTAAAAACATTCGGTCCTCAAGTTGTAAAATGTGCTAATAACGTTATTCTGAGAGTTATTTTCCTCAGCATTATGAACGCGGATCTAACCCACGGGACCGCGCCGCCCGGCACGTTCATGCGACGTGTTCAGTACTACATGAGTTTTACCTTTACCCATGGATGCACAATAAGAACGGATTATATGATTATATGAATACTTTCGTGACGTTTCGCTCTCTCAAAAGTTGGGCCATTTTGTCTTCATGCGCCAATGAGCATCTCTCATAGGAATGAACGAGGCCCCGCCTCCCACGCTGTA